AGGTAGAGTGAGAGGTAAAGAGAGATACAATGCTTGGTCCTGTTTACTCCCACCCGTAGGTGAATGTTTCCCTCTCTCTTCGTTGCCCTCACCACCACCACGACACCCGGGGTTCCCCTCGCCGAGATGGAGGAACAACGTGAGCCGTCGATGCCAGGAGGAACCTCCTCCAGTCGCCATCGGCGTTCCCAGTAATATACGGCGTCGCGTCTCTCTCGTCACCGACCGCCCTTTGTTCATCAATGGAGAGCTCGTGTCCACGTTCACGCACGCACGCATACCCGCGATCACGCATCACCACCACGCACGCGCGGGGGTATCGCGAGGATCACGAAGAGGAGCCCTGCCCGCCACCGCGCCTCAGAACTCCCCGAGAGTGCATCGTCAAGGTCACCGCAGGATCGCGCCGAGGAATCGCTGAATAGATTCACCCAAAATTGGTCCACCTCGACCGAGAGATGCCGAAGAGTCGACGTATCTGGTAGAACAAAGCTTTCAAGGAAAAGAAAAACGCTTTATCTTGAAGAGGATGCTTGAAGAGTTTGATTCTCTATGAAAAGCGATCCTTTCTCTTGCGAAAAATCCTGCCTTGAGAAAAAAGAGATCCTTGAAAGATTGCGGAAAAATAAAGAATTGATATACCAAAGAGATAGCGATTTTTTTATATTTTTAAATCAACAAGAGAGAAAGAGAGAGAGAGAGAGAGAGAGAGAATTATTAAAAAGGATGTCTCAAGAATCTCTTTTTGGAAAAAAGGATGCTGAAAAATCATGGACTGTCTGATAAGAGATAGTCTTTGAAAAAAAGCGTTCCATTTATTCTAAAAGAATAAGTAATTTTTCTCTGAGAAATCCGTGTTTAAAAAAAAAGAAAATTGAAAGGAATGTTCTAAGATACGTCAAGATGAATGCCCGAAAAAAATGAACAGATTTTCTCGCAATAAAATCGGACAAAGTCTTAATAAAAAAATCAGACAGACTTTTTAAAGAGATTATTCAGAAAGGGGTGATTTTCTTCGGAGAAGTTCTGTAAGAAAGGATCGTCGAGGGGACAATGAAGTTTGGTAATTCTTGAAGAAAGGTGGATCTAACGATAACAAAAATTGCGCAGGCAAGAAAAGTCTCGTATCCGAGATTGAATCGAGATTAAATCCCGTCTCGAGACTAAAAGAGATCAGCGGGGCGTTTCCAGAGAATGCGCCGATTCCAGCGGGATTGCACGAAAGAAGGATGCTGAAACTGGCGGGCAGAGGGGATCATCAAGGTCGGCGGTAAAATTATAAATTCTAGAAAACACGCGCTCACTGTATGACGTGTGGCGAGCAAAGTTCAGAAACAATAGAGCCGTTAATTATGCTTTAACGAGACGTAATTACACGGTGCAAAAGTCGCACGAGACTCCGATCAAGAAGAAGAAGAAAGATAGGAGAAGAGAAGAAAACGGAAAGCGGAGATAAAGAGAAAAATGCGATCGGTGTCGCGAAATATACATGTATATCGATTAATATTCGCCAAGAGGAAGCTCTTAGATAATCGAATTGACAAGTCGCGGGCCGAGACAAAAGAATAGCTCGAGGAGCAGGAAAAAAAGGAGGGGGAGAGTAGACGGACTTTGTACCCGACTATAAACACACACCGATAATGACTTATCGGTGAAGTTGAGAAAGGAGGAACGCGCATTGAAGGGTATGTGTGACGTGACAAGGATGAGGAGTGAGGGAATGTGTTTTTTTTTGCGAAGGAGACGCAAGCGGCGATCGGGTATTTCCATTTTTAAAGCAAGGAATTTTATAGTAATTTTATAAAAAAAAGAAAAATATATGCAAATAAATAAAATAAGATAAGTGAATTAAAATTTGAACTATGCTGCTTGGAATGTATATTGCAAAATGTGAATCGTTTTTTAATTAGATATGTACGGTTTATACGGGTTTAATCAAAATTATATTGGCATATTGGATTAAAATTGCAAAAATTCCATCGTACGATATTCATAATAATGTGTATCATACACAGTTTAATATACGAACGTAATATAAATATTAATTAAATTTTTATTATTCTTTTGTGTGTTTCACAAAAATTATAAAATTTATAACTTATAAATCTTAATTAAATTATATATATGCAAAATATATTTTACTACTTTTCACTTTTATTTCATTTACAAAGAGATTTTCATTGAGATAGGTCTGTCTGCAAAAGGATTTTCGATGAGTATTTTTTTCAGATAAAAAAGTTTTTTTGATATCTGCAGTAAAGAAATTAAATATTTTAATTCCACAATTATGTAAAAAAGTGGAGATACGTTAATTCTCGCTTTGCATCCTTCGTTTTTGTAAAGTGTAATTAATTTTTGTTTGTGTGGATCTACCTTTCTCTCTCTCTCTCTCTCTCTCTCTCTCTCTCTCTCTCTCATCTTTCTTTTTTTTTTTTATCAAGAAAATTTTTTTATAATTCTCTGTTTCTCTCTCTTGGGGTTTTTCATCTGCTACGTTGAATTGCATATACTGAAATGTTTACAGAATCGCTCATAGCATGTTTGTCATGCAACATAAGGTCATGATAAACATCAGCTCGCCAAGTTTAATCACATTTTTTAATCGATTAACATACAATGGAAACAGATTAAATACAATTATATCTTAATATCTATCATAATTGATAAAGACAAACAAATAAAGCTATTGCATTACAATGTAAAATAAGAACGCGAAATTAAGAGAAAAGCGATAGAAATCCCTCAAAAAATATATTTATAGAAAATATATTTTCGTTTTTCCGAGATATCTATATCTTTCTGAGCATACACGGATTAAGAAATTAAGTGCATTGATATAGATTCGCATTTGGCTTAATGAGCAATTAAAAATCCGGTTGCAAGAGAAAAAAAATAAAAAAAATTATAAATTGTACGGTAATTTTACTAATTATTTTTTAATACAATATAATTAATTTTCTCTCGCTCCGCGAATACACGAAAGAGTCAACCGATCAACAAAGTTGCCTAATTCGATTACGCGTATTATGTCACTGCAGTGATCGCACGCGATAAAAATACATTACAGCAATTACTATTAATACGTGAATATAATTAATTTGATAATTTTATTTGATTTAGCTTCATTCCATTTACATTATCTCTCTTCGATATACCCGAGATATTGTATACTTGAAACACATATTTAGGAAAAACGATCTAAAAAAAATCTCGTAATTATATACCATATTCGTTTTAATCAAGATTAATCCTGGAAATGCATCTCATCATGATATTTGGAATATTTTATTTGTAAGTAATAATAATATTGTAAGAACGTATCTCTAAAAATAATCACGTGTATTTACTTTAAATTCTTCTTCCGAGATACAAAGATGACAAATGTGTGATACATTCCAGGGATAAAAATTCTTTCCATCCGGGGGAAAAAAAAAAATTGACCCAGGTCATGCATTTTACAGTTAATCTTACCAACAAATTTAATCAATGCATTTTATCAGTGAACTCGTAAAAAGAATATCGATGGAAAAAAAATTTACCAGTGGCGAGATAAAAATACGCGAGGAACGAAGGGGGAGGGAAGGGGGGGGGATTGTACGAGGGAGCCGATAAGAGATAACGCGGCTCTTCCGTGTGATCTACCACCCTCTTCTTGCCCCCTCCTCCTTTTTTTTCAGCGCGGTCAAAGGGCACGAGCGGCGTAGGCATCATGCCACATTGCCATACGCTGTCGGCGGACAATAAAGCCGAATAGCGTCGGCCCGGTTCAGTCAGTATCTCGTAACATCGCGTCGTCGGTGTCAGAGTATAGTTCGAAACGAAGGAGCGTGTGGTGGAAACGGGCAAGCGCGCGTCGACGATGACAGCACGAGCCACGGCAGAGTCTTCCCGGCAGTGACACGGCGTGCACGCGTGTACCATCGTCGCACGATATATCTCGAGCGATTTTTCGTAACGTCTGAGAATACTTTTCGGGACTTTGTTTAAGCACGGAAAAATGCGATAAGAAATTTCCGAGCGTTTCTAACGTTTATCGAGGCTGACGAGAGGAGATCTCGGATCACTCTTCGAGAATAAGCAGGACTTGTTTTGAGGTGCAAGTTTTTTTTTTTTTTTTTTTTACTCGAGGATAACAATATTTTGGGTTTCCTATATTCTTAATCGATGTTTCTCGCGAATATGAGACTGTGGAGTTCAAGTTTCCTGCAATGTCGCAAGATGATGAAAAAGACATAGATTTCACGTCATTCCCGATGCGGAAAGTGTATTTCAAAAGTGGAACATCCTCAACGCTGAAAAGACATCAGAAAGAGATTTAAGATCTCCAATTTCCTGCTACATCAAGAAAATTACACATTGCAGATATTGAATTCTTTTTTTCCTTCCGCGACGTGCAGCATATAACAGACTACGAAATTCATCATCCTAATTGCAAAGGCGTTGCAGGAAGTCGACGAAAAACCTCTATATAATCTTCAATTGGTGAATCATAAATTACAGTCACGTTTTTCATCTCATTGTGAATTTTTCTTAGACGATTTATTCGCCAACTTTCCTCTCGCGAGGTGAATCTCGATCGATATTCTTTTTTTTGTTAACTAACTCGTGCAGCAATCACGTGTGTGCAAAAAGAGAGAGAGAAAGAGTGAGAGAGTGAGGAAGAAAGAGAGAGAAATAGTGTGAAAAGAATTTCCAAGAATTTTAACACGAGACCCTCGGTCCTTTCAGTAGGATCTAGGAAAAGTAACAGAAGAGAGAGAGAGAGAGAGAGAGAGAGAGAGAGATAGAAAATAGTACTACTGCAACGAGCAGAGTTCGTGTCATGTTGGTGGTGTGCAACAGCAGCTGACAGACAGCCGGGGACGCTTGATAATAGATTTTAGTCGGATCTTCGAGATAGACAGACTTCACGATGATTCGAATATTCACCGATACCTTCAAGAACCTGATCAGTGAGTGTCACATGTTTTTTACGCGATATATTACGTTAATTGCTAAATAAAATATTCATAATTCGCGCATTTATGCCAATGTGATTTTCGAGAGATGATATAAACTCGAGAAGAGATATGTGTGTATGATTATGACCTACATTATATACATATAAATTTTACGATTAAATATTTTTGCAAATCAAAGGAAGATAATTGAATTTAATTGCTACTATTTGAATAAATTATAAGTTACGGCAATTTACTTTTTTCATACTGACAATATTTCTTATCATAATTAACTGATTATTTTATCATAAAGATTAACTGATTAATTTTATCATAATTAATTGATACCGGTTTTAGATGAAAAGTAAGTTAATGAAATAGAAATATTTTAACAACTGGATGAAGATTCGTATTTCATATCTAATATTTTGTAACGCGACACACACATACACATACACATACATACAGTTTGAATATTAAATAAATTATATATAAAAATATATATATATATATATATTGAACGTTGCATTTTATCATTTTGCCATAAAGTTTTCGATATTGTCATTTATTGTGATATATTTTGAATTTTATATTTTCACTTTATTCTGTCATCACACACATTTCTCGATATCATTTATCTTTATCCTCCCTCCTCGTTGTTCCCTACGCTGATTTAAAGCTTCTTGCATCAAAGAATGATAACGATCATTTTTCACGCCCGATTGTAATCGAGCCTGCGACGGAATGCAAAATCCCGCTAAAAAAAAGTTGCACAAAGGAAATTAGTCCGTTCGCGCGACAGCGGCGGGAATTGAATTTCACTATCGTGAGACGATATGGCGTTGTTTGTACGGCTGACATTAATAATTATATGTTGATTCAGCGAAGTGGAGCGTCCAACCGCAAAGAATGGATCTGCCTCGTGCTTTGCTTTTGCAAAACCACGGTGGGCGAGATCACTTACTTTTAAAATTAAACATTGCATTTAATTACCTTCAAATTTAACTCAATCTCAATAAATTTAATGAATGAAGTTTTGAGAAATTTGCATAAATTTCGGTGTATTTATTTTTATTGTTATTAATAATATTATTTATAATAATCGGTATTTCCTTTTATATTATTTCTGTATTTATCATAAATGAAATCTAATGAATCTAATAAATTAAATCTGGATAAGAATATCAAACTCACACACACACACACAAATACGCGCAAAATTCGTCAGAGAACGAATGTTAAAACTTTAATTGATAAAAATAAAAGATTTACATTTCGAAAATAAGTCTGCCAATTCTTGCGTGAAAAAGACAATAAAGGCGATCTAATTATTTCTCTCGACTTGGTTATTTTTCGATATCTTTCCACATAGCCGGCTTTGTATGAATCAGCTCGCTCTTTTTTTCACGTGGTATACGTGACTCCTGTAACGTACAAAACGTCTGTGTCTCGGTTTCGCTCCAGATCCCTTCCCTTATCTTTTATTATGTCGACACTACTGTCCTTGTTCATTCTCGTGTCCATTCAGTAAGACAATCTAACATATTATAATCGTGCTATATAATTCATATAATTACACGAAAACGACCATTTGTCTTCTAACATCTGATTTATTACTTATTCCAAATTGAAATACCCTGATTATTATCAATATTTTGAAATTACTTGTCCTACAGTTTCGCTATTGCAATATTATGATAAATGATGTTGATATGATGATAACTAATCATTATTCTCTTGTGTAAAAAAGAAATATTTTTGATACTGGAAAACAAATTTTGAAATATATTTTAATTATATTTAATTATGTATTCTATTTATATATTTTTTATGATTTGTCTTTTAAAAGTGCTACTCTGGATACCTGTCAAAATATTGATCATATTATAGGATTAGATTTTTAAAAGTTTATCACGCTTATTCTAAAATTAATTATCTTCAAGGATAATGTAATTTTGAACAGTGCTCGTATTGAAATTGCTCAGCTTGTCCAACTATATCGAGAACTTGGACTTTGGACTCTCACGGAATTGTAGTAACAAATATGAATATAGTCAAATACTAACCGTCGAATTATGCTGATTTGAACGAGAGACACGTGATAAATACTATTTAAATGTTTTAAGCTCACATTCAATGCAGAACATGATAATCTTAAATTTGCACGAATTAACATACTATATCTGTGTACATAATCTTATTCTTCATCGTGTGAAATGAATTACGATTTAAATTTTACAAATTTATAAATAAATATATGAATTTCAATATATCTTCGAATTCTCTTTCAATAAATCTTGATCTAAATTTTGAATTTAAATTTTCCTATTTTTATCTATAAATTCTACCCACATGTTTAAAAACGATTTTACAGAGTTTTATTATAAATTTTTATAAAATATTGAATTTATATTTTTTCCAATATTTGTAAACAGACTTAACGACTTAAACGATAAAATATTATTGTCTCTTTTCAGATAAAATATAAGTGTGAGAAATATCGGATATACATCCATATAATATCAATAAAGAATATTTATGCGCATATGTTAGAAACCACATTATTAAATGACTTCATATATAATATATAAAATATCAGAAAAATAAATTTGAGGATTATTATACTCGAAAGAATGCATGTGTTGTTACACAACTTGAGTTGCAAATCCGCATCGAAAATTCTTGACGCGTAGATTCTCTTTTTGCGGTCGTTCCACGAAACAACTCGGCATTAGAGACAAGGCTAGCTGGTCCCCTCATTTTGTCGACCGTTTGGGGATTAAATGCATTATGGGGCTGCCGACAATTGATGACGATTAGTTGATGGGCAAAGATAGCTGGCAGCAACAGAAAGCCTTTCAGTATCTTGCGATACGACGCAGTATTTGTACGAATCATTTTTCATCTCTTTGTGGTATTTTAAGAGACGTGGTATGTAATATTTTTAATACAAAAAGAGGAGAGAAAATTATTATTTTCAACTTTATCGTCTCAAATTGGCTAAGTAATAGCTTATTATTTATATCTTTATTTAAAAATATTTTGGGAATGCTTTATCTCTATAAAAATTTGCAAAATTTATTTAAAAAAATAAAAGTCAGGATACACATTTCTATCTTCATTTAAGAACTTGCAAAATTTGGATGCTGGATATCCATTATAATTTATTTTAAAGATTTTAGAGAAAAAAAAATTAAAATAAATGTTTAATATTTTATTATAGAGAATTAAAGAGTGTCCATCGTTCAATCGTCACTTTAATTATCTTAATCCTTATCCGCCTCTAATCTCGTGTGTTATCTCGTAAGAAACAAATCTTCAAAACACAACACTCTGTTATTGTGTCTTAATTCTATTTACTCAGAGATTCTTTCAAAATGATAAGCGAGTACCTGATCTTCTTATTTTTCGAAGAAATCGTTTGCATTCGCGTATTTTGACCGGCGCGTGCTATAAACATGAAATAGAGGAGGGAAAAGAAAACAACGGATGCAAGAGTATCATGAGGTCATTGATAATCCGGCTTCACCCGCGTCTAATCAGTAAATTTAATCGAAATCTTCCCACATTGAGTTGCGATAACGCATCATATGATTCCTTTGCAACGTAAGCTTCTGCCGAGCAAGCGCTTCTCGGAGTTATTGACACATACGGTTGTTCCATATCGTCCCACATTCTTTTTTCTCTACGATCGTACGATGGAAATTATTCATAGGAATCATTCAACTGTCGCGTGCACGCTTGCATGTTCACGTGCTCAGCTCGATGAATGAAAGAATCGACACCCGAGATATAACTATACTGATTACTTTCGAAATAGTTCATCTCTCTCTGACCTTTAAATTTTTCATCTCACTGAAATAATGTTTAGAAAGAAAAATTAAATGTAAAGTTTACCGCGATATTACATCTACAAATTCCACATAAAATTAAAATATCTAAATATATATATATATATATATATAGACTGAAAAGATCACTTATGGTCAAATCCATATTTTTATCATGTGGCCCCCTCGAAACCATGCAACTTTTGTCTGAAACATTTTTTGATATCTCACTTCGTTTCCGAAAAATATGCCCGCGTCACTATAAATGCCGCACCCTGTATATATATATATATAGACATTTGATCTTTTATCTATTTTGATTTTATTTTAAATACATGAAAGATATAAAATTTAAATTATTACTATTAATTAGATATTTTTTTTTTTCAGATGGTAGAACTTATTTTAAAAGGAATGTGAAGATTTTTAAATAACTGTATTTTATTGGTATTTTAAATGTATTTAAAACGGAAGTCTTAAAATATGTTTTAATTTTTAATGGAAAAGCTCATTCAACCTTTTTTTAGGATATCGAGAACTGATGATTGAATGATGTAGTTTCATTGGAAGCACGACTCTCCAATTTCCTTATCATTTTTTTATTGACAAATTTGGAATCTATGTAAAAATATCCAAACAAAAAAACAACAACTTTACTTAAAATAAAAATACATTTGAAAATACTTGCCATTTATAGATATTTTAGCTTTTCAGATTTGATATTTTGTAAAAATTAAAGGCGATAAAATTTCTGTAGCTACTTAACATTAACTTTTGTGTTAATGTTTGTTAGACGGTTCCTAGAAATTATCTTTTCTTATCTATATGCACCGGCCACGCTATAGATACTTCGCAATTCAGTGTTCGTTTGTGCTTGGATAAATGCGATTCTGTTCAAATGTATAGAGTGTCTTCAAATAACCAAGCTTCTCCTTTTGTAGATTGTTTAATTGAATTGAAAAATATCGAGTAATTTTCCGATAATTAATATTGGAAATAAAAGTAACATGATTTTATTGTGTATGAATGAACTATGTTTCAAGATAAAACATAGAAATCATTCTTCAATTAATTTCAAAGAAATTTTACTTTTATAAAATTGCAACTACAATTTTAATTATTATAAATATAAGATTTACTATAATTATAATAAATAATATACAGTATTTAAAATATGAAAAATGCGACAAATAATGATATTTCTCACCGTTCTTGTTACCGAAATATAAATTAATTTAAAGAAAATGCAGTCAAGAATATATATATATGTATATGTATATATCCGGTGATTCTGGGACACTGTATAAATGCCAGTATTTATAGTTATTGCGCCAGAGAACGTTCGCTCGTGAGTAACGCGATAGCCAAAGAAAGTGTCGGTTCTTCGTCGAGTGGAAATTAGTTCAAAGGACGAAACAAGAGCAAGTTTTCCTGAGAACGTTCTCTGGTAAATTCAATCGCGCCCCGGTAAATATTAGCATAATTCGTGGGAATCGTCAATTCTGTAATTAACAATTTGTACTAGCTGCATCAGAAAAGTTAGCACGAAAGTCAATGAAAGTAGAGTAATGCTTCATAAATTTTGTAATGAGAAAATGAATAAAATATGTGAATTACATATCTTATGCAAATTGAAAAAAAAAATGGATATATAACCAAATCGAAAAATTCTAATGAAAAATTAAACATTAAATATCCTTCTAATTTTTTCTCCACATCTGTTTGCTAAAAAGATTTTTAATTTTTGCTAAAAAAAAAATTTATTATTTTAATTAGTTTATAATTATAAATTACCAAAACATAATATAAAGTTTTCGATTAAAACCTCGATTAATAATTAATTGGCAATCTTATATTATCCTAGTTAAATAAAATAATTTTTAGTGCAAAAATTGCTTAAGCAATAAATTATAATAAGTTGTAACCAAAAATAGGAGCTCTTTTTAGAGCCTCACTGCCTTATCACTCGCGTATACGTAACGCGTCGAAATTGCTCTTATCGGAACGTGATTTTGTATTTGCGTTTCCTCTATTCGCCAAGGGAACGTGTGCAATTTTTTTTTTCTTCTTTTCAACGTTAGCACGAAGATCGGAAATTTTGCGCGCAATCAGACGAGAAAGGGAGAACGAGAATAAATCGTCGGGTGCGTCTCACGGTAACGGTAACGCGACATGTTAAGCGGAAAAAGCGTTCTACCGGGGAAATTTTGCAGCTTGCCGAGATAACGACGTACACGCGTTGCCGTAAATGTGTTTTATGACCGGTTGTTGCGAATACGGATCCCGGCTTCTCTCGAGAGATCGGTGGAAAAACTAGCGCGCTCCGGGAATCAGAAGAGAAATAACGGTATATAACTCGTGAGTACCAGTTACCAACATGCCAATCAGCGAATTCCTTCGAAATTATTTCGATCGATCCTGCAATTCGATTGACGCTAGGGAGGCCGATGTTTACGCTTAAAAATATTACATTCAGCAAATTGCATAAGCCTTGTAGCAAGCATATTTCAGGTAAAATATGAGACATTGTGTATACATTCAAAGATAAAACAATTTTAGAACGTATATTAGTGTTTAATTTTTCAAAAGAGATTCAATGTGATAAAAAAATTAAAATAAAAGAGAATAAAATTATTTTATAATTAAATTGAACGTTTTGGTAATATTATTTAAATACATAAAGTATAAGATATATAAAATATAATAAATATATAAAAATAAAATTTAAAAATATATAAAATAATATAAAAAATATCATTTAATATTATTTTCCTAAA